TTATGCACATTAAAATATTGATGTTGTTTTTGAAAGTAACTTTTTCCCCCTTGTTACATAAGTGACACATTTATTGCAGAAAAAAAAATTTTAAGCCCATGAATAAAACGCAAAATTCCCTCAGAATCCAACCAACTGCAAGTACTGTGAAATGTTCTCGTTGATCATTCCTCCAGCCCTCTCTCAAACATAAATGCATGCCTAAAGTTTCATGTATTGAAGTCTATTTATAAACAAATAAGATCATACTACCATCCAGAACCTGCTTTTCCATTCAATGTATTATGGACATCTTTCCAGATTATGGAATATTTTCTACATCATTTTTAATGGTATTCCATTTTATTTATTTATTTATTTATTTATTTATTTATTTATTTTTTAATTTTTTTTTTCAACGTTTATTTATTTTTGGGACAGAGAGAGACAGAGCATGAACGGGGGAGGGGCAGAGAGAGAGGGAGACACAGAATCGGAAACAGGCTCCAGGCTCCGAGCCATCCATCCAGAGCCCGACCCGGGGCTCGAACTCACTGACCACGAGATCCTGACCTGGCTGAAGTCGGACGCTTAACTGACTGCGCCACCCAGGCGCCCCATGGTATTCCATTTTAGACCTGTGTCACAATTTAAAGAGCCGCTCTCCTGTTACTGGACATTTAGGTTGCTCCAAACATTTCACTGATAAAAATAACACTATGGTAAACATGCTTATAGCCATTTTTCTCACACAGATTCTTACAGTTTATTAGGATATATTCCTAGAAATAGAACCTCTTTGCCAAAGAGTAGGAGCATTTACAGGTTTATGATATGGGTTGCCAGGGTGCCCTCTAGAAAGGTTGAATTCACACTCTCACCCCCAGACGCAAATGACAGTTTCCAAGCCTTGGCTAACACTGGCTGTTCATTTTAAAACACTTTCACCGCTGTGTCTCTGATCTGCTTTTGAAAAATCGTGCTTCCTCTTTACGATAGCTAATGTTTGGTGCTGATATGTATGCCGTGGTGGCCAGTTCCCTTATTAGAGTCCTCAAAATAGAAATATCAAAAGTAGTAAAACCTTTGAATTTCTGGGGGGGGGGGGGGGGGGTTTCTGTCAACATTATGACGGGCAGTTAAAACCCGGAATGGGGCACTTTGTCTGACGGCACATCTCGTTCTTGTCTCTAACACCTTTCGTAAAGTGATGGGTCTCCACCAAACACCTACTGGCCTTTTTATGAGATTCTAAATCCTTCCGCTTACTCCTGGTGACTCCACAAGAAACATTGTTTCTCCTGGATGTTAAGGGTGAGGTGAATTTGTTTCCATAGAAAATGAAAAGTGACCCCACCACACACTTCTTTTTACGAAAAGTACTTCTTTAAAATCTAGTTATTTGGGGCGCCTGGGTGGCTCAGTCGGTTGAGCGTCCGACTTCAGCTCAGGTCACGATCTCGCGGTCCATGAGTTCGAGCCCCACGTCGGGCTCTGGGCTGATGGCTCAGAGCCTGGAGCCTGTTTCCGATTCTGTATCTCCCTCTCTCTCTGCCTCTCCCCCGTTCATGCTCTGTCTCTCTCTGTCTCAAAAATAAATAAACGTTAAAAAAAATTTTTTTAAATCTAGTTATTTGCGATTTTCAAGGAACAATGTCTGAACAATTGCTAGTTATTAATTTTGTTAACTACATGCCATTCCTTCAAGTCTGCTTTGCTTATGAATGGACATCGTTTCCTTTCTCATTTCACACCTATACAATTTTGCTACATTTGGCTAATGGTTAAGGCAATAGGCAATAAATTTAAAAAAAAATTTTTTTTAACGTTTATTTATTTTTGAGACAGAGAGAGACAGAGCATGAACAGGGGAGGGGCAGAGAGAGAGGGAGACACAGAATCTGAAATAGGCTCCAGGCGCTGAGCCGTCAGCACAGAGCCCGACACGGGGCTCGAACTCACGGACCGTGAGATCATGACCTGAGCTGAAGTCGGACGCTTAACCGACCGAGCCACCCAGGCGCCCCAAGGCAATAAATTTTCTAATAGTGAATGTATTTTAGTGCTAAATGTTGGCTTCCTAAGTAGTAGTAACAGTAGTAGCAATAATAATGATAACAATAATAATAATAATAATAATAATAATAATAATAATGATTTCTCTTTGTAAAGTACATATAGGACTCACCATATGTAAGAGTAAATTAGATCTAACTATATAGTGTATAAGGTAATTTAAAATGAATAAACTTAAGCAAAGGAAGTGGGATATTAATTCCTTTATAGTTTGAGTTTCAACCAAGAGTGTATAAACCCCCATGGCCACAACCTAAAATGTAAATTATGTGTATTGAGGCAATTCCTTATTTACTCTAAATTTCATCCTCAAAATACCCTGCAAATGACAGTGTTTTTCCTTAGATTGCCCTCATTTCAAGATGCTCCTAATGGTCAAAAGTCCATGACATCACCCGCAGCCAAAATTCTTGGGCCCTATGTGTCCCAGGCTCCTCGGTTGGGAATATTCCAAAGAAATCCATAGCCCAGGCCTTCTATCATTTTCCACAGTTTCAGATAAACACACAGCATGACAGCTTCTTGTCCGTGAGTCATTTTGCGGAGCCAGTTTTGAGAAAGACATTTCTCTCAAGGCCATACAACTGTCTGCACCTCATAATCGAAGATAAGGCCACCATCTTCCCAGCCTTTTAAGGACACCATAAGGACACATAAACCACCAAAATGCTTTGGAAATTCCAGCGTTTCACTAGCCACGCAACCTCACCCAGGCTGCCTCTCACAGCTGGAAGCAGAGCGAAGTTTGGCCACGTATTTTTGATTCTGAAAACGTAATTCAGAACAGTATCAATCTCCAGCAAGCAAGCCCAACAACCTCAATCACTGAAACCTATCCAATGTGGGCATATCTCCTTAAGCCAGACGGAGATTCCTATGTATCTCTTTGTCCCTCTGAGCTTTTCCCTATTTAACCAAAATGATAATAACTGTCCACCATAGCAACCATACCAAAAAAGAAGATGAACAAACACAAAATATTCCTCACTTTACCAAAACAGTGAATCCGGTTTAAAACGAGGTTTGGGTTGGGTTTTTTTTTTTGACTCCCCAAAACAGGTCACAGCTACCTGCCCCAAACTTGAGGCAGCTACCCCAGAAGCCTGCTAGTTCCCAAAGAGATCAGTTAAAGAAATCTTCATTGACCAAAGAAGGCCAAGATGTCCCAGCAAGGGAACGCCAATGCTGCATTCAGTAACTGTAGGAGAAAGACTGAAAAGAACACATTGGTGTAACACCTACCGACTTCCCCCGTATTTGCCTATTCACCAACTATTTCCTGATGCCTCCTGGATGTGCTGGATGCTGGGGATGGAAAGATAAATGACACCTTCATAGCATTCCCCCAAATCTCAGGTTCACTGGGAAGAGATACCACACAAATGGGTAATAACAGAGCAGGACTAACAGAGCAAAAGGCAGGGTCGGGAGCTCTCAGGGGTGACCCAGCTTTCATCTGGGCAGCCCCAGCCTGGACTCTACATTAACTTCACTGGCCACGAATGACCAACAAGGTACTGGGGAGTCACTGAAGGTAACAGATGTGTGGGATCGGATATGTCCGGGGAAAACTACCCCGGCCACTGTGCTTAGGGCACACTGAGGGGGAGAATAAGGCATCATGGAGAGGAAGCCTGTGAAGGGAACACGGCCACCATACTCTAAATCAAATTAGAGGCTTGTGATGTGTGGGGACAACTTATAAGTCCGCCCCCACTTATGACACCAACTGCAGAAGCTGAGAGTCCCCAAGAACCCCCCCTGAGGTTCAAAAATTCAGTAGAAGGACTCAGGACTCGCTGAGAGCTATTATACTGACAGTGATGGCTTATTCAGTGCAAGGCTACAGATTTGAATCAGCCAAGGGCAGAGATGCATGGACAGGGCCCGGAAAAGTTCTACTTGGAATTCCAAGTGTCTACGGAGCTATGGACAGTGCTACCACTCCCTGGCAGCAATGTGTGACAGTCGGGAAGGCTTACCTGAGCCTTAGTGTCCAGAGTGTTTAAAGGGGCTCCATCACCTGGAACAGGCTGGCCACACAGTCCTCAGCCTCTCTGGAGATTGAGCTATTATCACACAGGTCCAAGGCCCCCACCTTATCTGCTCCCAGGTCTCCAGGCAAGCAGAGACACTCCTATCAGACGTCACATTCCCACAGTCCAGTGGCTCAGAGATCACCTGCCTGGAGCCCGAGACAAAGGCTAAACCTCTCTTTGTGTAAGATTAACTCTTTACTACAGAGGGTTGCACTGCAGGAGAGAGGTACGTCTTGTCCTTTTCCTAACTTTCTCCCTGAATTTTGGGGGGCCATTTAACCTCGAGGCAGTGGCTCCTTGTGGATGGACTGTCGGGGCTACCTAGGTGGTTTCAATGTGTTGATTTTCAAAGCAACTAAAAAGCCTTTTGAGAGTGACAAAAATAAACTACAGTTCATTCATGGCGTTAGAAGACACAGGTAATTAAACATTATCAAGCACTTGTTTCTAGATATTTCCAACGTTTATGTAAGGATTACCCTCTTACTACCAAAAAAAACAAAAGCAAACAAACAAAAAAAACCAAGTCATTTTCCTACTAGATTTAAAAATACAAATGTGTCTGGGGCGCCTGGGTGGCGCAGTCGGTTAAGCGTCCGACTTCAGCCAGGTCACGATCTCGCGGTCCGTGAGTTCGAGCCCCACGTCGAGCTCTGGGCTGATGGCTCAGAGCCTGGAGCCTGTTTCCGATTCTGTGTCTCCCTCTCTCTCTGCCCCTCCCCCGTTCATGCTCTGTCTCTCTCTGTCCCAAAAATAAATAAACGTTGAAAAAAAAAAATTAAAAAAAAATACAAATGTGCCTTAACATTTGAGAGCCTGGTGACATACACGTGACCCTAAAAAACACTTAGCATAAGTGAATAGAAATGTACAGTTCCTTTGTCCCACACAGCATAGCACACTTACCAGCAAATACTTCAAAAGTCTGCCGTTAGCCAGCTGTGTGATCTTGGGCCTGTCATTTTAACCCCCTGGTTCGACTTCGTTTTCTGTAAAACAAAAGTATCGGATCAGATTATTTCTAAATTTCCTCTGGTTCTCCCTTTTCTCCTTCAGAATAAAGTAACCTTTTGTAAATACAAGTGAGGACCCTTCAAGGCTGAGCTTGCTACATAAATAAGAATCCACCTTGTTTCCAATATTTAACTTTTATAACCCAAAGGAAGAAATACACAACCTTTAGGTTAAATATATAAAATAACTGAATATTTTTCAAAACATACCATTCGTTCCTTAGCAAATCGTATGCGGCACCTACCACGTACTAACCAGGTATAAATATTTGAAATATTTATCCGTATCTTGTGAACGATCCTGAGCAGATGTTGGTTAAATGGAGATTTTAGTAAGAGCCTGTTAAGCACCAAACATGACAGGAAAGAGAACACGCATCTTTTCGCTTAAAGTTATATGCCTTCAGAACTCAATGACTTTCTAAACCGATTTTATAATTAGGAGGATATTTTTAGCTTCTTTTTCAATTGGAAGGTTTTATCATGCTCATCTCAATATATGTAATTTCACTTGAGTATTTTCTGATTTTGAAAAAAATGAATCTTTTCCCCTTGGTGAAGCAAAGTATGATGGGAGCAGCTTCCACAGAGTGCTACATCTTTAAGGGCCGGTGAAGCCATCCTGACTGCAGGTCCCAGTGATGCCCATACAGTGTTCTTCCTTGGGCCCTGATGGAAGATGAGTAGGACACCAGGGTGCTCGCCCTGCAGGAGGCAGGAACCCATCCATGGCTTAGTGTAAGGATGGCCCTATTCACAGAGAATTCTAGTGCCAGGTAATGCTGCTGCAGGGGAAAGGGCCTGGTGGGGAAGCCCCAGTGTGCCTCCACCTGCAAGAGTGAGGACTTTACTAGGGGAACAGAGTTCCAGCAGAGGGAACAGCACTTGCAAAGCTCAGAGCCCGGACGAGCGTGTGGGGAAGCCAAAGCCTCAGAGTTGCCGGCAAGGGCAGGGGCCCCGAGGAAGCAGGCAAGGAGAAGGAGGCTGGTGACGAGCCTGCTACAGCGCCAGGAAGCTGGTGGCCCTGGGACTCCAACACAGGTGTTTAAGCAGAGAGAAGGGACCAAAGCAGACCCATAATTTAGAAAAGGGACAGAGACAGGGATGGACTGGGGAGAGGTCCAAATGCAGGGGGTGCGGGGTGCGTCCTGCCTTGAAGCACTTCAGGGATCCAGGGGGCTCAGTGAGGCACTGACACCTGGAGTGACACGAAGAAGGCTGAGGCCAGCTCTCACCTTGGGCCTGGTGCCCTGGTTGGCTGCTGGGGGCGGTGGGGACATGTGAGGGCACTGGTGGAATGATTAAGAGGCATCCCGGTGCAAAGGGCCAGAGAGCAGACGAAAATGTGGAGTTGAAGAGAGGACGTGTGGAATGAGTCAAGGAAGGAAGGGGTTTGGCTCGGAAAAACAGATGGTTGTCATGCAAATAATCTGAGGCCTTAAGAGCAAGACTTTAGACCCTAGAGGGGACGGACAGTGAGGTAGCGGCTTTAGGAACTGGATTTCAGACAACCTAAGCACCCTTCCCCAGAGTCAGAACGGGGGAGGACGGACCAGGCAAGGTCCATGGGGTTCCCCTGATACTGTCTGGGGAGGGGAGTTCTCTCCCAGGCCACAAGCCTCCCCTCAAGCTACTTTCTTTCCTCCCCACCCAATCCCTGCCCCTCTGCCTTTACCACCACCACCACCACTGCCACTGTGTTCCAGATGGCTGGCTAAGGAACCCATCAGGGCCAACCTACTAACCAGCAGCTAAACCGCTCCCACCAGGAGTATTTGCATCCCCAAAGGAGGAATTGGTTCATTTAAACAAATGCCCGGTGGGTGGAACGTGCACGGCAACGCTCAGAGGAAGATTTTTTTCCTCTTTGCGCTCCAGTCCCCAGGCCCCAGGCCTCGTCAGGAACGGGCCCCGGCCTGCAGAAGCAGGCGCTGTCACCGGGGGCCCATCAAGGGAGCGGGCAGGCTGGCCTCAGAAAGGGACACAGGACTAGGCCGGTCGTCTTGCTGTATGAAAATGCCCCTAGATTTCCACGTCACTCCGGATCACTGACATTCCACTAGACTGCCGTTACCCCTTTTGTTTGCTTTGTGCATCCAGAAGCGGACTGAACTAACCACGAACGTGCAGATTCCAGAGACAATGTGACCAGGCAGGGAAACCGGGTGCAAGTTTGGGGGCACTTTGTTTCTCCCTTCTCGCCCCTCCATACCCAGCCCCGGCCACCAGGGCCTCGGGGCCTCAGGCCTCTCCCGGAGAGGCCTCCGGTTGGCCCCGTCTGCATAGTCTGTGTCAGGAGCCGGGGTGCAGGGTGTCTCCAGGACCCCAGGCTCCACCTCGGACTCCCTCGGACAGGGGCACCTCCAGCGAGGACGCACTCCACCGAGGCTGGGTCCCCGGGCGGGTGC